TAGGGAAAACGGCTTCCTTTAAATAAATGATCTCTGCTGTTTTATAGAAACTATAGACAAGTCTGCACTAAAAGGTCACTGAAGTTATGTGAATCAAGCAGTTTATGAAACACAACGTTCTGGTGCTTGCTACGTCCTTGTGTCAGAACTGAAACGTGAAGAACAAAGCTCTTATATTTTAATGCATTTTTCAAAAAATAACTTACAAATAGAGCCAAAACAAGTACACACTTTTTTGAAAAGAAACCTGTGTTTGTTGGACAGTATGGTGCCACTTTGCGTGTGAGACTTAAACCTCAATGCAAATTTTACAAAAGAACTGGAGGCATTCATATCGCGTTTGGAGAAGAGTATTCATTCCAAGGCTCTCCTCCCATGAAAAATATGCCTTTGTAGTATTTTCAAAACATGAACTAGTGCGACCAAAAGCAATCTGAAGGGCTTTGTTATACACTTAGCAGTGTTGCTGAAAGGTTTCAGAAAGGCAATATAGCCTAAACACTGTGAAAAGTAGAACTAAAAGCATTAGTCTCGACACAAAAACACACTGGCAGAGAGGGGATAAGGAAATGATCATTGAGATGCTACAAGGCTGCAGTTAGGGGGTTTAAAAATATAGTGAAGGAAGAAAAAGCAAGAAGTGATTGATTAGTATAAATTGCCATAGAAATAAATATAGTAAGGGAAGAAAGAGCAGGAAGTGATTGATTAATGTAAATCGCCGTAGAAATGAACAAATACTAACCTCCTGGGGTTGTAAAATACAGGGCACTAACCCAATCTGCCAAGAGTGTTGCCGGCTGAGCAGTTTTTGATACATTTTTTTCTGACTTGTTCAGAATGGGTGTACAAAAAGCGAGAATACACTAAAGGTTTTGTCACTGTGCCATGTTCTCCTGCACACATGCAAACCTCGGAATCGGAAGGGTTGTGAATGCTTAAAGAAAATATGAGATACTCTTCGTTTAGCTGTACTCAATATTTATTTTGCATAGCTGTTGAAGGTTTGGACTTCTAAATAATTTTTGTTTCAGTGGTGCTGTTTGGAAATTGTTCTTCATTTCAACTTACCATTGCTACAAGAATTTACAGATCTCCCATTGATGCAGAGAAATGTTAATTTCTAATATATGCTTATTTTATGTTTACTTTTTATTTATTTATTTATTTATTTTAATTTTGTAATGTTTATGCTTATTTTATGTTTACAGATGCATGGATTTGTGTAATATACTTCTTTTCCTATCCCTAAATTAAATCAGTACTCCGTCTTTTCTAGGAAGATGCATAACTTCATCAAGCATCCTATAAACACTTCTATAAACCTGGCTTCTAACAAAGTTTGCTAAACACAGAGAGTAAATAGTGGTTAGTTTTATATAAAATGCTGGATTCAAGTATTTTTTGAGGTGCTTGACATCTTGCAAAAGATCCTCAGCACCACATAAAAATAATTTATAAAATAGTGTGAACAAAAAGGAAGATGAATGCCAACAGCATGCTCCTTATACAGGCGTATTTTATTAAGTAATTGCCATCCCTATCTTTTTTTATGATATTTTCCTTCTAATGTTTCTATTTAACTGACATATTTGTTTATCCTTCATTCTCAATCGTAACTTGTGTTCAGTACACTAGTCAAAAAATTATGATCTTTCAATCTCACGTTCTACCACCACTGCTTGAACCATCATGTTGAATTATTTGAAAAGGACAAAATAATGAGTTTGGATGTGTACTCACACCATGTATTCTTCAAGAAAAATGCTGCTTCTACATTTAGGAGAAATGGATGGAACTGAAAGATGATAATGAAATAAACTTCAAGTGATAGATTAGACTAGATTAGACCTATTGTTACTACGTCATCAGGAGAGATAAATAAAAAACTAAGGCTTTCACACTAGGTTTGCTATAATATTTTAGAGGACATTTTGGACAAGACAAAAATGATAGAAGTCAAGATGGTTAAGGATGTTTAAGTCTAAATTTATGCATCGAAATCTATCAACTCCCTAGCTGGTTCTATACTTTGTTTTCCCACGTTTGTTATAAATATCTTGCTTTAGTTAACCTTAGTTCAGCATTCAGAGGGAATTTAAGGTTTTTGTGCTTTTGAAGAAGTGTCAGTAGTGGACATGTGTAATTGAGATACATAACCCTTCAGAATGAATGCTGAAGTACTTTTCAGTTGAGTCCAGTATGTGAATGCCTTTGTACTCTCATTTTTTCAGGAAAATTAAAAAATTATGAGATAGGAGTTAAAAAGCTCAAACATTTTGTGGGGAACAAGGAGGAAAAGAGAAATCTAGATACTTAAAAATGTCGATTCTTTCTATTTGCATGTAAGATTAGTGAGTGTTTAGAACAGATGTGGGTCATATTGCAAGCTGTTCTTCCAGAAATTCATGTAATTCCACATAAACTTGGGACTTTAAAAAATACCTGTTATGGTGAGTCTTAGGACAAGAACAGGAGACAGGGCTCAGTTCTCTGAGGAGACTAGGGCTTTAACATGACTCACAGACTGCAAGTGACTGTGCTTTCCCCTTGTAGGTCTGTCTGTTGCAGGTCTTCAGCACTGTGTAAGGATCTGCTGATCTGGTGTTTGAAGTACTGTCTATACTTATTTAATGTAGCTTCCCGTGTGCTAAATATTATTACTATAAAGCATTGTGTAGGTGTTTGGAGAGGGTTAAAAGCTTCAGCGTAGTGTTCTGAGGATCAAGACACAACGGGTGTGGAGCTTCATGGACTAGTAATTGGGTGGTGGGA